GGGTTTATTGTTGATTGTTGAAATTAAATATAATTATTGTGGGTTGAAAACCCTAAATGCTCACCAGACTCCCAAGCCTGACCCACTCAGTTGATTTATTTTACAGGAAGTGGCGCAAGAGCTTAAGATGGGCGAACATCAAGTTGTTTTGTTTACAAGTCTGTATATGTATATATTTGTTGAATGACTTGTAATGCTATCGTTTATGCTTTATGATCTGTATCGAAACATGACATCCCGACTTTTGATTGTGAAATGAAATCATATTTCTTTATGAAATGTTTTGATAAATATCTATTTTATCATGTTTTGTTTTTTGGAACAAATTCCGCATCTCTTTTAAAATTAAAAGGATTTACTCTGAAAATTATTTTAAAAAACATAAATGAAATCGGTCATTTCTGGCCGAGATTTTGGGGATGTCACGGAAGATTTGGAGGTTGAGTAGCCAATAAAGATGCATGGTGAGGAATGTGGTTGTAATTTTGATGTGGCATAGGGACGCAACCATGGGTTGCAAAGCCAGCCAAAAGGTTTTAGTTTAGTGTAGTTAGGTGGTTGTTGAATCAATTGAGAAAATGGGGTTTTGTTGTTGAGAACTGGTGTAGGGAGCCGATTGATAAGATAGACGGCAGTCTGGAATGCATGGGACCAAAAGGTAAAAGGAAGATTTGCATACTGGAGAAGGGCAAGACCGGTTTCAACGACATGGCGATGCCGGCGTTCAGCCATGCCGTTTTGCTTAGGGGTATGAGGAGGTGTTTTATAGTGGGAAATACCATTCTTTTGAAGAAAAGGAATCAAGCAAAGATACTCTCCGCCATTGTCTGTAAAGAGAGATACTAGTAGGGTGTTAAAGTATTTTTCTACAAGAGTTTTAAATTGTGGGAAAATGGTTGCAACATCTGATTTTTTTTTTCATGGGATAAAGCCAAACATGTCTGGAATAGTGATCGACAAAGATAACATAGTAGGTGAAATAATCAACCGATTGTAGTATAGGCCCCCACACATCTGAATAAATAAGTTATAAAGGTTTGGAACTGACAAGAGAGTTTTGACCAAAGGGAAATTTAAGACTTTTATTAATTGAGCAAGTTGAACAATGCAAGCTAGAAATAGAAGTAAATTTTGAATTAAGACCTAAACAGGAAATAAGATACCGAAACACTTTGATGGATGGGTGGCCAAGTTTGTGATGCCATTGAAGTGGAGAGAGAGAGAGAGAGAGAGAGAGAGAGAGGTGGTGTTGAGTTGAAGCATGGATGGTAAGGTGGCATGATAAACATTTTCAGTATTCTCACCCCGCATGAGATGCACCCCCGTGCATAGATCCTTCACCAAAAAGTAATCCGGAAAAAATTCAACAGAAACATGATTAGTTTTACATAATTTTGCAACGGGAACTAGGTTTCGACGTAAGCAAAGGGCACAAAACACATTGGGCAAAGTTAATTGTTGATGTGTCGTGTGAATATGTTTGGAACCAATATGAGAAATGTGTAAACCGTTACCATCACCTAGGACGATTTCATCAGGGCCTCCATATTCGGAGACATTGTGAAGTGCGGATCGGTCAGATGTCACATTATGAGAGGCACCTGAATCAAATAGCCATGTTGGTGGAACCGTGGATGATCCAGCAGATGTGGTGACATTAGCAACTGCGTTTGATGATGGAGAGTTGGCAATGGTAATATTGTTGTCTTTGAGAAATTTTGGCAACTTCCTGCATTCCTGAGTAGTGTGACTACGGATGGAGCAGAACTGGCAGAAAGCGCCATTCTTGTTTTGGCGATTGTTGGTGGAATTGGTGGACCGGTTTGGTCTATTGTTTCCTTGCTGGCATTGCGGGCCAGAATTGAAGGAACGTTGATTCCTTTGAGATTATTTGGAGTTTTGTGGTTTGCCTCCTTGTCAGGCAATATAATTAACTGTAGGTACTATGGTGTTGATTACTGGCGTAGCTTCTTTAAGGCTCCTTTCAAAATCAAGTAGCTTGTCAAAGAGTTCCGGGTAAGAGATTAATTGTTCACGAACCTTAATGGCGGCGACAATAGCATTATATTCTTCTCCGAGTTGGGAGAGAATGTGAACTATGAGATCCTCTTCTTCAACTGGACTTTGTGCTAGGGCAAGGTCATTAGCTATAGATTTCATGTCTTGTAGAAATTCTTGAATGTTGTGGCTTCCTTTCAGATTCTTGACTAACTTGGATTTTAAGGAGATGATGCGGCTTCATGAGACACTCGCGTAGCTGGAGTTCAGCCGCTTCCAGGTGTCTTGAGAAGTGGCTACCGATGAGATGAGAGGTTGTATAGGTTTGGAACAACTTCCTAGAATAGCGCTGATAATGATCTGATCTTGTCGAAACTATGGTAAGTATTTCGGATTCGGCTTGTTGTCAGCAAGGGTTTTCATCGGTGCTTGTTCTGTGTCGCTGATGAAGGATTCAAGTTCTAGGCCGATTAGGGTAGACTCCACCAGTTTCTACCATACTAGGAAATTGGTGGAGGTTAGACGGATTGGAAAATGAGTTGAAGCAGTTATTTGGATTGGTGCCATGGATAGTTGATTAGAGGAGGGAATGATTAGGGATTGACTCGTTGGAGAGGAATGCGCTCTGATAATATATAAAGGCTATGAAGAGGATTGAATATTATATTCTATATTTCAATGTACAGGGGATTACATTGGTTTATATAATTACGAACTATGTATCGTAAAAAGAAACAAACGGAATAATTATGGAAAATACAACAACCCTGAACACAAGAATATTCTAGAGAACCAAATCAAAGATATCAAGTATCCGGTTTGATTTTAGTCGTGATAAAGTGTTGTTTGAGATTGTTGTGTACAAAAATATAAGATTAAGTTGGTATTTGTAGATAAATTTGTTAAACTTTTAAATGCTAACGGTCACAAACTCATCCCTAACGGTCACATAGATCTTCTCTCCTCTCGTAACGTGATGTTACCCCGACTACAAAGCTTAACATAACGGACCGGCGGAAGGGGGCATGATAACATTATAACGTGTGATACTTGGGTATAACATGCTCACGTTACACCCACACCCAACAACCGTAGGTTCATTTTGCACAAATATACTAACTTCACAAATTTAGGATATACTTTTTGATATATAGTAGAGGAAATTATCGGTAGTTCGCAATATAAAACTTATAAAGCGTTAGAAAATCTAGTTCCCTTTCCACAAGAATACAAGTATTTTTATAGTTAAAAGAATCCTCCTAAGCTTCATTTGTTTTGAATTTGTTATCTTATTATGAATTATAAGAGTCAAATTAATAATTTGAATTTAAAATCGATAGGGACGTATATTCTTTTTAAATCAGTAATCACGTTAAATGTATTGTAAATATGACAGGTGCAAGAAAATTGCCCTAAAAGATAAAATCTTAACGTGACAGAAAGTTAAAAGAAAACATTCTAATAATAAAGTGTTTAAATTAAAATACCTCTATTCTAATATAAATATATTAAAGAAAATTTGTGATGGTAAACTAAATCCTTTTAAATAAATGAATACATTTTTTTGCCGCTTGTTAAATTCTTAAAAGTTTTGTCACATGTAATTTTGTGGGAGTTTTAGAACTATTATTTTCCACTTGTCATTTTTTAGGATTTTCATTTTTTTTAAATAAAATTCCACAAAAATTTAATGAGTTTTATAAGGAAAGAGAATATTTGATTTCTCTTATAAAGTCTCATAAATGTTCTAAAGAATATTTGATTTCTTTTATAAATGTTCCAAAATATTATATCATGTTATGTAAAAATACTATTTTCTAAAATATTTAATGTCTAATTATCGATATTAATTTTTTTTTTAATAATCCTGAGTAGTACACGGGTCTCACACCTAATCTACTCAAATAAATAAAGATCTTTTTGTCACATGTCATATTTTTATTCATTTTGCCACATGTAATTTTATGGTTATTTTAAATTAATTTTATATTCCACGTATCATTTTATGGTTTTTCTATTTTATAAAATTTCATATATTATTTCAATCTAATAATAAATACATATCAATTTTATTAATGTACTTTCCTTCTAATTTCAATCTAATAATAAATACAAAATTAAAGTTTCATTAATTTCTTTTATTTATTTATCCAAATCATTTGTTTAAATTTAAAAGAGAAAAAAAAACACTTTAATTTTTATAATTCAATATTTTTATCACTTTTCTTATAAATTCAAACTTCTTAAATATTTTGAAATTTACATTTAAATTCTTTTTTAAATAAACTCATGTAATACATGAATCTCACACATAATATCTACTAAATGAAGATAATTTTGTCACATATCAATCTCTAATAAGTTTTGAGATCTTTTATTTTTTAATATTTTTTAAATAAATAATATCCACATGTGAATTTATGGTTTTTTTTTTAATTTTAAAATTAAAAAGCCACATAATACTTATCAAATGTAATAAATATTATACTAAATTGCAATTAATATTACAATTAATATGTTTTTTCATTCCTTATTTCAAAATTTTAGTTTAAAAAATAATTATTATTTATATTTTAATATTTTTTTTTAATCAACTCGTATAATATATAAATTCTACTAAATCCATGATTAAACCCGGTCCATGGAGAAAACTTATTTTTGGCTGATTGTGATGTCAACAAACACTATATTTGTCATTTCCGTTAATTATTAGACACTTTTGCTTACTTTTTATGATCACCATAGCTGTCGTTCAAGAGATAACTACGCCAAATATCGCACATACTTCCATCTTAGCCATCGTCGATCATAATTCAGTCAGTAGACTGATTACAACAAGACTACTTAAAAAGCAACCAATTCCGTGTTCTACGTCTCTGTATACGTCTCAGGTGTTTACTTAATTGTGTGTGTGTGTGTGTGTGAGAGAGAGAGAGAGAGAGAGAGAGAGAGAGAGAGAGAGAGATAGAGTGTGTGTGTGTGTGTGTGAGAGAGAGAGAGAGAGAGAGAGAGAGAGAGAGAGAGATGAGGAAGAAGAAGCCATTGCTAATGGTTGAGAGCAATGTGAAGATCACGTTGTTGATAATTGGAGCATTAGTGACCATATCTTTTTATTATATCAACATCAACAATAATAAAGAAGAAAAAGCAATTCGTCCAGTAGTCATCTTCGATACTTCTGTTTATGATTCATTAGAAGGATGTGATTTGTTTTCTGGAAAATGGGTTCATGACAACGACTCATATCCTCTCTATAAAGACTCTGATTGCCCCTATATTCTTGGTGATTATGCTTGTGGACAATATGGAAGAAAGGACTCCAAGTATCAACAATGGAGATGGCAACCCCATGCTTGTAACCTTCCAAGGTATATAAATATGTATAATATCTATGTTCTTTTCAATCTTTAATTATCGCGAATTCGTGATACAAATCTATATATGTTCCATGGATTATGGTTTTTGAAATGATTCATGAATTATGTTTAAAATATCGATAATGAATTAAATTTTATAAAATTTAATGTAGATCACATCAGCAATATATTTTTCTACAAATCTACTATTTAATTTCTATAAACTAAACTCTATAAAAACCAATTCAACATATTTTAATAAAATAAATATTTAAAAATTAGTTTTTTCTCCATTGAAAAGTTTAATTACTACTCCGTTAAACTTCAAATCTAGAGACACGTGAAATGATGGTTCACTTCACAATTCTATGAATTCTCTTTTATTTAGTCTATAAATACTTTTTTTTTATATATAATTTGTATAAAGTTTTCATTCTAGAGAACAATGTCTTCTTATAAATTATTTAATGTATTTTGATTTATTGTTATTTAACTATATATATATATATATATATATATATATATATATATATATATATATATATATATATATATATATATATATATATATATATATATATATATATATATATATATATCCTGAATCAAACTTTTGCAATTATTGAAGACTATGGATTATGTTGATAGATAAACTATAACCACTCCATTATTTAATTATATCATATATTAGTCATATACTTTATTAGTTATGGACTTTTTGAACCACAGTTGTAAAATGACATGAATTACACAGGAATAAATTTCTTAGAGTTTAGGGAACTTCTATATCCTTCTTTTTGGAGAAAATAGTCAAGTCAATATAAAAAAAAATCATTATATTTTTTTATATTTTTTGTGTTTTAACTATTATATTCCAGTTTTATTAATAAAAATCATTCAAGTTTGAAAAAAAATTAATAGAAAGTCAAAATAGCCAAGAATATTTTATTAAAGTTTAATGGTTTAGTGGTTTAGTTGAAACTAAACTTTAACATCAAATATTTCCACCACTACTATATAGCAACAATCAATTTGCTAAAAAAATATTGAAAAAACATCATATACAGTCTCTATGATTTTCTCATATCGGAAGTTTAGTCCTCGTAGTTTAAAAGCATCATAGATGGTCCCCTGCTTTTAAAACTTTTGACGATTGATCCTTATTGTTAATTCCGTGAAGTTTTGTCCGTTAACTGAAGGGCATTTTCGTCATTTCACTACCACAGGGACCATTTATGATGTTTTCAGGGTTTTTTTTTCATTTTTTTTAAATAAGAAAACATCATAAATGGTCTTTGTTGTAGTGAAATGACGAAAATGTCTTTCAGTTAATGAACAAAACTTAACGAGGTTTGCAATAAGGACCAACTGTCAAAAATTTTGAAAGCACAGGGACCATCTATGATGTTTTTAAACTACAGAGACTAAACTTCAGATATGGATAAAACGTAGGAACTATTTATTTTTTTCAAAAAATAATTATTATCATTTAACCTGATATAAGAGCTATAACATGTTAAAGTGGCCTATAATATAAATTGTCAGACTTTACCATGACCCATTTTTATAGACAAAATTGAAAAATAATGGTTAAATCGTAAATTTAATAAAATATAATGGTTTTTATGTAATTTGCTAATTAGCAATTACAACTACCTGCTAGAAAATAAAAGGTAAGGTGGATTAAGAATTTGCTTAAAATAAAATGTTGTATTCTACCAATACAACCCAAAATTTTAAAAAATATATTACTTTTTCATAGAACCAAAGAGAATCAGAATTTCAAGTGATATTGAATTCGTAAACATATTGTTTGGTTGTTGACCTTGTGTAGATTTGATGCCAAAGAAGCTCTTGAGAGACTGAGGGGTAAAAGGGTAATTTTCATTGGAGATTCAGTGAATAGGAACCAGTGGGTGTCAATGGTCTGCATGCTTCAAGCAGTCATCCCTCTTGGTCGAAAGAAGATGCAAAAAATTCATGGTGTTTCCTTGTTCACCTTTAAAGCATTTGTGAGCAAATCTATCCTCACTTATATTGCTCGACAAAATATATTGTTATTCATTATTTGTTGAGTATCGATGCCATAACTTTGGTTAATTTATCTAAAAGTAAATCAAGATTTAGTTAGAATTTAGCTTAATGAGTTCAAATGCTTAATGAGTGAAATTTAATAAAATTTTCTAATAATGAAATGGGCCAACGGATGAAAACCACAATTACATTCATGTGTTGCTTTATTTCCTCACATCATAAATCTATTGGTATAGATGTGTAGATCTTAAACCCAACGATATTTGTTTTCATATTTTATCTTCTTTATGTTTGTTCCATTATATTTTATCTAGTTTTAGAATATTTCTAATAATGAGCACATACAGGATTATAATGTTTCGATTGACTTCTATTGGGCTCCGTTATTAGTAGAATCCAATGGAGACCACCCATCAAAACACAGAACGAAGGATCGTATAGTTCGTATCAATTCCATAGAGAAACATGCTACAAATTGGATTAATGCTGATATATTAGTCTTTAACTCGTATCTTTGGTGGAGGATGCCCACAGTAAAAATATTGTGAGTTTAATTTCTAAAAGCAAACATTAGTCTGTAGTTTTTGCAATAGAATTTTAAGATAAATCTAATACCTTATATAAGTAACAAACTATTTTTTTTAAAACATTAATGTTTTAAAAAAGTACAATGATGTTTAACAAATTATTTGTTCTATACACAAAATACCATTGAAAGAATGGTATTTCGTGAAGACAAAGTTCTAGTTATTTACTTCTTTATAGTATACATTTTTAGAAAACCGTATTTTGTGTTAAACAATATAATTTGTTATTTTTTATGACATTAACTTTTTAGAGTATTGTTTTTCATTAGGAACGGATCATTTGAAGACTCTACACAATACGACATAGTCGATAACCATAATGGTTACAAAATGGTTCTGAAAACATGGTCTGATTGGTTGCATAGCCATATCAATCACACAAGGACCCGATCATATTTCATGAGTATGACTGCAACACATCACAAGTAATATACTAAAAACTACTTTCTTCAAAACAGTTACCTAAATTTTAATTTTGTTATGTATGGATATTTACGGTTTCATTGTAAATTTATCTTCAGAGGTGTAGAATGGGGTATGCAAGATGATCAAAATTGCTTAAATGAAACTGAGCCAATAATGAAAGATGAGTTTTGGGAAAGTGGGTCGGATTTGAAAATGTTGATGATACTAGAGTCATCTTTGAACAAATTGAAAACAAGAGGGGTGAATGTGCAAATGATGAATATAACACAATTAACACAATATAGAAAAGATGCACATCCTTCAATTCACAGATTGCACTATTCTCCGTTAACCAAGGAACAACTGTCCAACCCTTCAAGTTATTCAGATTGTACACATTGGTGCCTTCCGGGTGTCCCAGATGTTTGGAATGAATTACTTTTGGCTCATATTCTTCGCAAACATATATAATTTAATTCTTTTAGATAGGATAGTTTAATCATTTATATTTATCAAAAATTATTTTTTAGTACTATGAAATGTGAATCTAACTCTTTTTATATACATAAAATACATCTTTGAGTTTTTAGAATAAATTATGATTGTATGTTCATGGTCATTGTGATATTTATTTTAGATGATTTCTCTTTCTACATGTAACTTATATATTAGTTAGATATTTTGTATTTTATATTAACATGTTTAATCTATGAATAATTTTATTATTCTAAAAGTTTATAGTTGGTTATAATTATGAAAGCAATTATGAATTAAGATTAATATTAATTGGATTGGTTGACTCTCATTGGATGAAAGTAGACAATGGGTTACAACCAAGATCCATAGATATTTGTCAAAACCGGTATTGAACGAATCTGCATCAAAATCACTTTATAGATCGCTTCCGTGAGTGATACTTAAAAAAACGGTATTATCTTTATATCCTTAATACTTGAGATACATAATGAAACTTAAATGTACTGAACATTATGCTTTGATGTGGTCAAACGCTAATCCTTAACCGGACAATTATAAAATTCATTATCAGGTATGGTGTGAATTATGCAAGAGGCTTATGTAGTCAAGATGTGATTTGTTCGTGTTATGTGTTGAGATCTAGATATATGACGCATGTTACCCAAAGTTTAACACCAATTGAGATTGATTGTGATCCAAGTCTCATGTTCAACAAGATGTCTATAACAAAGGGATAACTGATAAACTTACCTTATACATTAATTATAACTTTGAGCTTTTGGAAATTGGATGTTGATGAATGACATTCTTTATCATGTGTTATTGGAGGTAGTGAAATGTTGGTAGACGTTCACCATTGTCTATATTAATCTACGAAGAGTCTTGTGCAAGTGGGAGATTAAAAGATCTTTATGTAACGACCCAAAAATCATAAGGTAAACTTTTCATTTTTAATTCAACATATAAACACCCTTTATACTTATCGACCATTTAAAAGGACGTCAAAGTGAAAATAGCTATCATAGTAAAATCCCAGAATCATAAAGTGTGGAAAATGGGTGGATGCGCTACGATCAAGCTAGGTCCTTCCCTTTCGAAACAAAAGAACTTAAACCATAAACATAAACCGTAAGCACAAAGCTTAGTAAGTTCCCTAAAATAGCACATATCATACGTACATTAAGCCCCGCCCGGTATGCATCGGTGTGACAATCCGAAATTTTCTATCCTGTACAGTCAAACACTTCATTGAAGGTCAAACTCATTTTTGTTATCTTTTAACACAATTAAGAGTTTATTTGAGCGTTCTGAGCTTTGTACACTTAAGGGATAATTGTCTGGGTTTATCTACTGGAGATATAGCTTAAAGAACAGACATGGAACACCTTAATCAGGAGTTCACGGCCACCACCATGGATTTTACGGCCGTAAACTCCCCTTATATGGTCAAGTTCTGGCCATTTGTTTCATTCTTCCACTTCCCTTGGCCGAAATCCTCTCAAGTATCATCCCGATTTTCGTCCCCGATCTTCAAATCTCGTAAGTTCCTTGTCCTAACTAGTTGATATCTTACATAAACTAGTGATCTTACATGATTTCATCTGTGAAATCATTCCATTTGTGTAGATCTTCAAGTTTCACCAACAACACTCACTAGTGTTCTTGGCCAAAACCGACCATTCAAGCTCATAGATCGTAAGTACTCTTGTTCTAACTCGTTGTACACTAGGTTTAACATGTCTAGGGCTTAGAAAACACAAAGAAACACTAAATCAAAGGATTTTACGGCCAAGGCATGTTCTTGGGCCGTAAACCCCTTTAAGTGGTGCAAATGGCACCCTAACACCTTACCAAGCCTTGGATCTTAGCCTAGAACCTTACACCTTTGAACTATGGACTCCAAGAAACAAATTGGTACTTTATACCATGAGTTTACGGCCCTAAACTCATGGGGAAGTGGTCCCCAAGCCGTAAACTCCATACAAGGTCATTCTTGGACCTTAAACCCACCTAGCCTCTTATTTAAGCCTTGGAACACTTAACCTCATAAGACACCTTACCTTTAAGCCTCTTTTGGTAGCCCATTTGAGAGTTTACAGCTAGGAGTAAACTCCCCTGGGCCGTAACCTCCAACAAGTATGGTCTATTGATCATAAACTCCCTTACAAGGCCTTGCACTCCTTTGTTGCAACCCAATGGCCTCCTAACACTTTGACCAAAGTGTTTTCCACACATTAGGATGTTTATGCTTGTTTAATTAGTGTTATAATCACTAATTGTATATATACATATGTCTTTATATGTTATTAGGATCATTGTGTGTGTTTAAGTCTTCACTTGACACCAAGCACTTGTCCGACACTTCCATACGATCCACTCACTGCAGGTGAGTTCATACCCCTTAATTAACCTTTTAAATGTTTATAAATGCTTTATGGGGGGGGGAATACAAGTTGAATCATGCTAGTTATTATATCAATCACATGTGATTAATAACTAGCATACAAGTGGATTTACTATACTTTTAGCTGTTTTACCAAACAGATTACTTCAAATGACTTTCTCAAACATTTTTACATGTTAAAACTCTTTATCATACTGCTTTACATACTGTATGTTTCCTTTCGAACTATGATACAAATGTGTTTCAAACAAAGGTTTTCCTTTTACTTAAAATTGTCTTATTAAACAAACTACTTTCAAATCGTTTTATAAACTGACATCAAGTCATTGCTTTCTTAGTTATTAAACTTTTTAAAGGTTTTACAAAACTTCTTTTATACTTTTATATTGTCAAATGCATGCCCATATATGTAGAATTATACAAGTAATGTTTGAAGGACTTAGGACGGCTAGCTAGCTTTATTTTTTTGTCCTCGTTGGGATGTGGCCTTAGGGAATCGGTTATTCATCCGAATGTCATCTAAATATTAGTTATATATCATGTATACATATATAGACATAAAAGTTCCATCAGTCAGTTTAGTACCTTTGGGTAGCAAAGGCATACTCTCAGTTATACACGTATATTACTAGTAACTATAATAGGCATAGTTAGGAGATACCACTCACCATTCCATGTAGAAGGAATCACACAAGAGTCAGCTCATTCATGAGTCTATACTAATACAATACACGATAACAGAACAAACATAATAAGGTGCTATAGCACGGAACAATCTAACTATACCAATGAATCACTAGTGCATTGTGATAGTTATGTTAGGTATACATGATCACATAACCATAATGTGGATGTTCACGACTTGTAATCATTGCAGGGGTCGTGTTTGGTTCCCAGAATCTTTTGATAGAGAGAGCGTTTAGGATGGGTTCTATCCATCACATTATACCTTAATTCTCAAATTAAACAAGCACAGGATCTAACTATACCAATGAATCAGTAATGCATTGTGATAGTTATATTGGGTATACATGATCATATAACCATAATGTGGATGTTCACGGCTTGCAATCATTGCAGGGGTCGCGTTTGGTTCCCAAAATCTTTTGATAGGGAGAGCGTTTAGTATGGGAACTAGCCATCACATTATACTTAGTTAAGAACTGATAATCCTACACTAACATACATACACGGGTCGGCGTTGGTGCCTTCGACCCGTTCCTACTGCAGAAAACTCACCTCACAAGCTGACTGTAGAATCCCGCGAATAAACCTCTCGCTGCTAGCTGGCAGATCCCCGAACTGCTGATCACTCGACTCCCCGAGCTATCATTACCAACATAATACTTAGTTAAGAACTGATAATCCTTCTTAGGGTAAAATAACCATTTTACCCCTGGTCAAAGTCAAAGTCAACGCTTGGTCAAAGTCAAAGTCAACACCTCGAGTTGATTTGACTCGCTGAGTCATCCTCCTGACTCACCGAGTTCCTTCACTACTCATAGTCGTGGCAGAACGAGTCAACTCGTCGAGTCCATCTTCAGACTCGTTGAGTTCTACCTTGTACAAAAATCGGGACATCACGACTCAACTCACCGAGTCCCTCTCTAGACTCGTCGAGTCCCTCTTTCTATTTGGGCCATCTTAACAAATTAATCCCCTATTCTCTAGATCAAGACTCCATACTTCTTCTACATATAGAAAATGCCTTCTCAAGGGTAAAGTTTCCAACTTTACTTGCTATTAGTCCTTCTTAATGGGTTTACCTAAAACCCTAGTTCCTTAGGACATAGATCTTTGTCCAAAAGCCTTATTACTCCAACCCAAAAGCATGAAAACTGATATCTAGGTCCTAAACACCCAATGAGCACGTAAAGTATCAGGCTTTACTTCCATGCATTGCCTTTTGGGGCTTAATAGGCCATAATATTGTCTTTAAGCTTGCATGGGGCTTCCATGGTCATAAAGTTTGCACCTTTATGCTATGGAACCCCTTTTAGATCCCAGATTTGAAAGGTACGCCACTTGGGACGTCCATGTCCCAAAGATCAAGATTCTTGAACCAAAACCCTCATACAATGGAACTAAAGAGATCTATAAATCTATTAAGCAAGGTTGAGGCTTGTTTACCAGAAAATAGAGAGGATAAGATGTGGTTTTTGGATCTACTAACTTCCTTCTGAAAGTCCAAACTTCTCCTTTTCTTCACAAGCTTCAAATCACACAAGATTCACTCCAAAATGGCTCACAAGCATTAGTGTTTGGACAATGGAGGCTGTAAATGAGGCTGAAAGGTGGGGATTAAGATGCTTAAATAGGGTTCATAACCCCGAATCTAGGGTTTCCCAAACCCAGACCAACTCATCGAGTGGGTCTCTCTACCCGCATCCAAAACTAACTTCCTACTCGTCGAGTTATCCCCCATGGACTCGACGAGCAGACATTTAATTTGCTTATCAACTTGTCCTTAATTAGCCTTTTGGTTTCCGGGTGTTACAGAAGACTAGCATCTTGTGTCTTACTTTCTTTCTTCGTGGATACATGTAGAGAACTTCTTATTTGGAATTTCATGTTATCTTTATTAACTTCCTAATTGCTAAAAGGAACCAAAGTCTTCAAATGTTGAAAACTCTTCCCTTCTATGGTTGTTTTAATCTTCCTAAGCTTTGCAATATGATATTTGGTGGGTAAAATGAATTTAGTTTATTCAAATCTAAAATTGCTTTTTTTGCTAATCATGCCATTTTTAACGCTATAATTAGACTATTTTTGAATAAAATCCAACAAACATCATCAACGTTCATAAAATAGAATCACTTAATTGCAACAAAATTAACTAGGTGTCAAAACTCTAACTGTTATATCAAATTACGTTTTTATTTTAAAAGCAATTTTTTGATCACCACACATACTTCAAATGATTTAATGATCCATTGCTATTTTTATCGAAAGTATCTATGAAAACACAATCCTTGTTTTTTTTTACTATCATTTTGGTCTCTCTAAATGCAAGTTCACACAAGTGTGAGCTCGGTGAACTGATGCCAAATTAAAAGTACCAAGACCTGAAATGTTCAAGATGAAGGTACTGAATCCCAAACCGAATAGGATTTACCAATACTAGTACTTTAATACCAAACTTTTGAAGATCCCCGACTAGCCATGTTTGATGCTCTGTAACTTAGCAAATATTTATCCAATTAAGTTGATTCGTGAACGTAATTTGCAGACAACAAAAAATATACTAGAAAAAAAAACTCCTTAGAACTCGTATGAAAAAATTTATCAAGGTTGGTGTATGGTTAAAAAAAAACAATTACAAAAGCTAAAACAACCCCTAACATCACATGTTTAAGGGTGAATAACTCAACAAATATTTAATTAATTAACTTGGTTCTTGAACCTAACTTTTAGCCAACAATATGCAAGAAAGAAAATTAGCTCATTTTGAGTCCGTACGAAAACTTTATGAGAATCGAAATATGGTAAAAAATTGAAACAACCTCACCATCCTATGTTTGAGGAATTGAGTCGATACTTATCTAATTAAAGTTGATTCTTGACCCTGACTTGTTGTCAAGAAAATATATATATATATATATATATATATATATATATTATATATATATATATATATATATATATATATATATATATATATATATATATATATATATATATATATATATATATATATAGTACATTCAAAACTCATGCAAAAAATTTATGAGTATCGAAACCGGTACCGACACCTAGTATCGAATTTTCCTAGTGGATGGTACTGGAATTGAAGGAACCAATAGTCGACTTTGACGATTTGAAAGAATCAAATATCAAACAAATTTACCCTATATGAGTATATGTTACCTATTGGTTCGATATCAATGGTATTTTACTTACCCCTATGTTCACATCCTCTATTAACATGATTAGTTATATCATTATAAGATAGATCTCAATTTCGCTATCATTCATAATAGCATATCAATTATAACGGAAGATATCACCATTACATTCCATAACCTTTCACAAATTTGCAACTCTTTATGAGACACAACATGATATACACACATGATATACACATGTGTAGTCACATTTGTTTTCCCTTTCTTTAATACACTACAAAACTAGAGAAATCCATAGAGTATAAATCAGTATTATTGAAAATTTTATCATACAAACGAGTCTCATATAAAAGAGCATACCTTCCTAAAACAACAAAAAACCATCAACAATACGAATGACGGGTCTTTCAAAGGTTAATAACAAAATTGGTTATATTCAAATCAACAAAAAATTGATATTTTATTACTTCATCAATTAATCAAGCAACATTCTTGATTTTATATGTTTATAATTAGCATATCGATGTAAGATTAAATAACTACCCTTTTGTAGTTATCAAATAAAGATATTTGTATTGACAACTACCTTCTTAAATGTTACGGGAATATTATTGGAGATGTCGGAAATGGTTGAATCAAAGTCAAGACCCTTGTCGAGTCAAGATTCAAGAATGATAATCAAGTAATCACAACGCCATATCTCTCTCTCTCTCTCTCTCTCTCTCTCTCTCTCTCTAGGATGATTCAGAGATGGAACAAGAAGAAAACCCAACTTCCACTCATAGCACTAGTCTGCTTCCTGTTCGTATTCTGTACCATTTTCTTTAACGAGCGCCGATTTCAAGAAATCCACCGGAAAGAAAATCGGAAAGGAGATGACATTGGTACTCGTAATGATGTAAAGCAGGCATTTTTATCCAAACCCACACCCTCTTCCCTGAATAGCAGTCGCCTGAAAGCTCCTCCAGGTCTGTATATCGTAATCCCTGTCACCTGTTTGATTATATATCTCAAAGAGACACTTTACTTGTTTAGTTCACTAGGGTTCATGCTTCGACATCATAAATACCTTCTTCTTGCGATTTAGCTTCTAGAGTCGCTTTGATTCGATATCCTCTTAGTGTGATTTCAACTTCAACATCACCTTCACATGAGTTCTGTTTAATTTCAAGAAAAAAAAATGATCATTCCATTTAACTTCGACACTTCGTAACCGACGCCATATCCAAGATTCAAAACTGTAAAAACATCCATTTGAATTAAACTGTCAATCATACGAAACCTGTAACATTTCGAGATCTAAAACGGCAAGTCGGCAATTCAATCCACGTGGGCCTGTTACTCAAGTATTCGATTATGATTAAACACAAGAAATTGCATCCTGCTTTCATTTATCTGTTTACTAACAAATTAACAATCTCCTTCAAATACAAAGCAATCTTCGCTACTAAAATCACCGAGATTTTTAGCGTACAATCTCCTAACACGATATCTTAATCCAGTGGTTTTGGATAGATTCAGTAGCTGCAAGTCTACAGTAAACTACAGTGGGCAGAAAGCCAGATGGGATATCAATTTGATTCAATCTGATAAACAAGAAGACGAAAAGAAAGATTCATGCGATTTGTTTAAAGGCAAATGGGTATTTGACAACACTTCATATCCTCATTATAAGGAGTCTGAATGCCCATACATGTCTGATCAATTGGCTTGTCACAAACATGGAAGGCCTGATTTGGAGTATCAATACTGGAGATGGCAACCTCATGGCTGCAATTTGAAGAGGTAATTTGTTTTCAAGAAAAGGGTATTCCCGTCTTTTTCACAGGGTACTAGTAAAACGAGGGTATATATTATATAAGTAATTTACTTACATGAAATCGACTTTCTTGAACTTATTTTCATTTTAGATGGAATGCAACTGAGATGTGGGAAAAGTTAAGAAACAAAAGATTGATGTTTGTAGGGGATTCACTAAACAGAGGCCAATGGATATCAATGTTATGTCTTTTAGAATCTGTAATTCCTCCAGAAAAGAAGTCAATTACCCCAAATGCCCCTCTTACCATCTTCCGAGCAGAGGTATATTCTTTCCTTTTTTTGGTTAAATCCGTAATTCTAATTTTGGCTTAAGAAATGAAGGATTGAATTTTTCAAGTTTCAATTTTGTATGATTTGTTTTGTGTATAGGAGTATAATGCCACGGTGGAATTTCAGTGGGCCCCACTTTTAGTGGAGTCAAACTCGGATGATCCGGTCAACCATCGATTGGATGAGAGAATAATGCGTCCTGATTCAGTTCTTAGACACGCGTCTGAATGGGAACATGTTGATATATTGATTTTTAATTCATATTTGTGGTGGAGACAAGGCTCAGTGAAATTGTTGTGAGTGAATCTCCATTTTTTTTTATTAAAATGCAAGAAATCGCAACGTACATTTATAAAATGTATAATATTTTGATAGAAAATTTAAAAAATAGTATGCTATAATAATACATAAGTAGATGAAAGTATGTTGCTATTTATTGCATTTAATAAACAAAACAATAAAAGTACATTGCTATTTCTCGCATTTAATATGCCATTTTTTTTAATCATGAAGATGGAGTAACGAAGAAAACGGAGTTTGTGAAGAAGCCGAAGGGTTAGAAGCCATGGA